ATTTTTATTTTTAGAGAATCTTGGTAAAAATATTCTTTTTTACATCTGTTACATAAATTAATTTTATGAAATTTTCTAGAATTTCCAAGAGTACACAAATTGTTTTATGTTACTTATAAGAAGGACTCCTTGGAGAAATTAAATCATCATTTTTTTTCACAACTACAGCCAACTTTTTAAAAACCTGCTCCAAATCGTAAAATAAAAACTACAATAAACTATCTAATTATCAAATTAGGTAGGCTTTTATTTGCTTTAATAAATAATATACATTAAGGACATTATTATCTGAAGAAAAGAAAATAAATTCGATGAATAAAGAATTTTTACAAGAATTTTTTGCATTTTTCTTTTAGTTTTTTCAGTTTTCTTTAATTTTAAAAAATGTTTTAAAATTCTTCCAAGCAGAGTGTGGGGTAGGTTACTAAATTTTTAAGTGAAGACTATATTAACTAAGCGAAAATTAAAAGCTTAATACAAATAATGTTACCAAAACTTTTACCATAATTAAAAATATTTTTTTGTGCGGCAAAATGTTATATATTTTTTAGTATTACATCTCATAAGTGACATTATGGTTAAAATGTCACGTGTTTTAAAGCTTGTCTCCTCCTTGGGGTAAGCCCCTTGACATGTAAAGGTTTTATCTCACTCTCAGTTATTAAATTGAGATAATAAAAATTAAATTGAGATAACAATTGAGATTAATTAAATTGAGGTAATAATTAAATTTAGATAAAATTATTGAGATAATAATTATCTCCTTTATCAATTTAAACAGTTAATAACTCAGTGAGATACTTTAATTATAAATATAATAATAATTTTATTAGTTATTATCTCAGTTATTAAATTAAAAAGCAATAACTTGATGTAATATTAATAATTAATAAAAAATATTTATCATTATCTTAGCTATTAAATAATGAAAGAGATAGAGGTAACTCAATAATGTAAGTAATTTTTATAGTATTTTAAATTATTATAAGAAAAAAATAACTGTTATGTCACTTTTGATGCACCGTACTAAACCTTTCACCACATTCAGCCATCAAATTATAGATGGAGACGTGAAAATAACAAGACCCTGAGGTCAAGAAATGTTTGTCTAGAAAATTTTATGCTATAAGTGATTTTTCTTTTAGAACAGATTAATTTAATCTATAAATTTGTTAATTTTTCGAAATATATTTTTTCAGAATTGTATATCTTATTTTAGAGGGATTTTCACAACCGAAAAAGAGGTTATTTTATATTTCTCTAAAAAAGTTAAAAAATGGCTGTTTCGATTGGTTTCTCGGAAGCATCGACTAAAAATCATTCAAATATCTTTTTGAAATACTCCACAGTATTTTTTCTGGAATTAGAAAATATAATTCTTTAGCTTTCAATTGAAGCGGTTGGGAAGCTTCAAAAAGAATTTTTCCTTTATGAAAAATACATTTACACCTTAGGTATACGAATTTTTGGAGGTACCTATTTTTAGTTTTGCTGTCATGACTTTTTCCGTTGGCTGTTTGATGCTCCAGTGTTTAAGGCTCTTCTTCTCTCTCAGCAGAAAAGGTTAATTAAGTATGCTTGTCCCTATGTCTGTGCGATTATCCATCCTGAGAAGGCCTGTATGAATAGTGACTTTCATCGGCCGGCGACATGTTTATATTTAGGTGGCAAGTCTCACCAGTTAACTTTTCAAATTATCCTATGTTTAAAATTCTGTTCTTCTGATTGACGCAAAATAATTCAACGTCGGAATATTCCTTCTTTTTTCTTCCAGATCATTCGATTTTTTATTTCCTTGAGCTACATACAGCGTCACCATAAACAGGATCAGTATCAATAGTTATCATGAAAAGTCCCGTCCGCACACTTTATTGATCAATAATATCTTCGCTCATAGGTAAGAAGCATAAGGTTCTAATTTTTCAAATAAATTCTCATAATATTTTTCTGTAGTGAAAATGTAATACCTTTAAAATGTTACAATATTGGTATATTGTATATTTTAACAGAATACCTTTTACAGACTAAGATAATTTCATCTGTTATGAACCCATTATGTGCTGAGATCACCCCGGGTAATGCCAAACTGATTTTGCATTAAGTTTCACACCAGAACCTCAGAGAAGCCAGGTGCATCTCCGCGATGATTTGGCATGTCGCTTCTGCCAATATAGAAACAAGTGATCGGTACAGCTACGCTTAGATTCTGCTTACATTAGATAACAGGACAAAATAAGAGTTCCCCACTAAGAAGGGTAAAAAAAAGAGTGTCTCTTAAATCCTAGCAAGAATCTATGTCCGGAGAAAGACCCCAAAGCCACACACCATTTCGACGCTAATAAATGTCTGAGTCTGGAGTTGAATAAGCTTTAATGTTATGTATGGTAGAGTCAGTTTCCGAATTCTTTGTCTGAAGAACGACAAGGGTATGCATATTTTGACATCTCACGAGATTAACAAATTAACTGTCAATTGTAACAGGAGATACGGTGTAGTAATGGATAGCGGCTCGGAGTGAGGAATCGTAGGGTCGAATTCGAATTCCAGTCAAATCCATTACATTCACTTACGTGCTAATAACTTTGGGAAAGGTATTAATCCTCTGGAAAGAAGCCTTCTATAGCCTTGGATGGTAACTGGTCTATCGCAGAAAGAAATGGCAACCTACTGCGGGAAAAATCTGCTTCGTTAGTCATGTATCGAAAGATACATTATCGTCTGAGTGTGTATAACGAATGGCACATGCCTGACTGATAGTAACATAAGTGAATTCAGTCCACACTAGCTTCCTTGCTGTTTTCAAGGACTACAAATGTCACGAGTAATACACTCACACACACAGACACAAATGTATACAGGGAAAGAAAAAGAAGATTAAATTTGCCCGGAAATTAAAGGATTTGGAAGGAAGTTCCACGAGAGTACAATAGAAGTAATTGTTAGCATCGAACTGACGCTTACTTCTAGCAATTGCAACTGTAAAAGGATGCGACAAAGGATTAGAAAATTTAATCTTTTAGCTTTCAATTGAAGCGGTTGGCAAGCTTTGAAAAGAATTTTTCCTTTATGAAAAATACATTTACACTTTAGGTATACGAATTTTTGGAGGTACCTAGTTTTAGTTTTGCTGTCATGACTTTTTCCGTTGGATGATTGATGCTTCAGTGTCTAAGACTTTTCTTCTCTCTCAGCAGAAAAGGTTAATTCAGTATGCTTGTCTCTATGTCTGTGCAACTATACATCCCGAGGAGGCGTGTATGAATAGTGATTTTCATTGGCCGTCATCAGTCAATCTAGTACCGCGCTCAGATTGAACAAAGTCGAGTCACCAAAGAGGAAAGTAATATTTATTTTGTTTTAATATCGCAAAAGTGTCGCAAAAGGGCAAAAATGTAGCAATGTCCCCATCCGCCAAATAGGGGCTTAGGGAAATTGCATACGATAAAGAAGATAGGGAAGTCTTTTGTATAATGTTAAACTTAGCTAGCGACGATTACTGACCCAAACAAACAACAGTATTTCTTACATAAAACAACATATTCTTACTTACTTTTCTTACTATTTCCATCATATCTCAAAGTTCCTATGAAATTCTAACTAGTTCCCATATTGTCATGGGTCCTTACCTATAATTACAGAATGAACTCTTCCTAACACTATGTATACTACGCCTCTCAAGAGAGAGGGTCGAATCGAGTCAAGCCGATAGTAGCTCACTCCAAACCAGACTGACAGTCATACTAACACCTTCCACATCTTGTATTATTATTTTGTCTAATATACCTTCGTTATTTCTACTTTTATATTCGTGTTTTTCTTCCTTGGTCCTAAACTGAACCATAACACATATTTACAATTTTCTCGTGTTTGTGTGTGTGTGTAAATAAAATAAATTTTAAAAAGAGGAAAGTTCAGCAGAACAATTACCTTTACGCATTTATAGAAAAGACGCACTGTATCTACTGCCAAGTTAAGGCAAAAAAAAAAAGAAGTCATTTTTAGAGGGTAAACGTATTCGAGTTACTGTCTCTGCGAGATGCTGTGTTGCTTGGTAGACGCGACGAAAACTCCGATACGAAAATTTTCCGTAACAATTGGATAAGTCTAATGGTTATTACGAAGGTACGGAAGCCCAGAAAACTCATCCTGATTGTTCTAATCAGAAAAGAACTCCCGAATTTGTTAGTGAGGGCCTCAAACTCAACACGGAAGCCAACATCAAATGCCTTGAGGAGGTACTACTGCTCTGGGTGAAAAGTGTGGCTGTTGAAAGACTCTATATCTGGCAACAGGATTCTGCAACATGCCACACAAGCAGGAAAACCATGACTGTCAAACAATTTCTACGACCACCTCATCCCTTACATCTGGCTACTTAACTCCCCAACACGCTTGATTATTATTTGTGAGGCGCAATCTTGGACAACAGGTGTTCACCTCTCAATTGATAGTCGGTCAATCGCAGATCTCTGTCCACAAGTGTGGGTCATCTTAAGTCAATTCTGCTTGTGAATTTCTTGATAGCTTAATGTTGAAATTGCTGCTGCTTATATTCGGGTTCTACTGAGAACATGACACAAATAATAAAAAAACCACAACAGGAAAATTATCAATGTTTATTACATTCTAGAGATCTATGTTTGAATATAGTTTCCCGTTCCCATAAACTGCTTGTACTAGTATCTCTATTAGATTAATACCTGAAGATTCCGAAGCTATCCTAATTATCGATATCTTTGAAATGCATTTTGTCATGGTGCACTGTGTTTGCTAATCCGGATGTAGGCGGCAGCAAATTCACACTACCCTATCAAGCAATCCAGAAATAGCTTTGACTTAAGATGACTCACACCTGTGGCCAGAGATCTGCGATTGACCTACTATCACTTGAGAGGTGAACACCTATTGTTCAAGACAAGGCATCTGTTCTCGGTAGTAAAGCCGCTAATGCATGAATATATTTAACAACAGCTTAGACATCTCGGAAAGACGACATACAGTTTTTCAATATCTGTGGGCGTACGCTATCTATCTATCTATCTATTTCAGTCTGGTCATATCTATCTATTTATCTATGTTCATTATCTATCAGTGGACTGAGGCGAATGAAGAAAACAGTAACCAGCGAGTAAATTCAAGCTCACTCAGCTGGTATTTCAAACTTGAGTCGTTCCTTCTTGAGTTCTGTCTCCAAATCACACTAACTGCCCGTTCTAGCCGTCAACCGTGAACGTCCCTCGAAGAACTCGCCGACTTGGAAAAAAGTAGTTGTTTTTATAGTTGTTCATGTACCCATAATCCCTTGCATCTTCCTGTGATCCCATAATTCATTGCGTCCATGTCCCATAATGCATTGCGTCCTTATTGGATAAAAAATGCGATGCCAGTCCCCCTCATTCTTTTATGTTATCTGGCCGAGGATGGATTACGGCAGAGCGGTAAGTGCTTTTTTTCTCTCCCTCATTTCAACTGCAGTAGCTTTACATGCTAAGCAAATACGGGCCCTTTTTTTGGCGGGGACAAGGCAAGTCGCGACTAGTTGTGCTCGTCCCAGGTTCTGTCTCATGTCCGCCACACTCCCCCTGATCTCCTGATCACACAGATGACAGTGAGGATACGGTCTTTTTGTTCCGGGTGCTCCTCCGAAGGGGGATTTGTTGAACTTCTTCATCAGAGGAGCTCTCATTAGACACGTCCCGATCTATTGGCAAACTACCACTATCGGAGTGATTGGTTGTTGAATCCAACTCTATGTATATTGGCTGTTCACTATCCTCCGTGTCTTCTTCGTCAGTTGTGGGATTTGAGCCCAAAAAATGGCGCAGGTCTCTAACATGACGAGGTGTTCCATCGACCCGCACTGACTGCTGACTCACCACCTCGGTCACACGTCCGGTTCCAAATTTGGTCGTGCATTTACCACGTGGAGTCTTAACCCAGACAATGTCCCCTTCCTTGTATTCCCCTTCGGTTATTTGTGATTCAGGCGGGGGCGTCGATGCCTCTCACCTGGACGTGGTATGTGTGCAGTACATCAGCCGGTGCCGTGGAAGGTGAAAGGTTGTCCTTAGGTGTGACGTTATGCCAGTAAACCGCTTCCAAGACTGAACAATTTTTTCTGGCCGCTATGGTTTTGACGCTTCTGTGGTTGCGTTCCACAATGCCATTTCCAGACGGCACGTAAGCGCACCGGAACCTCAAATGCACGCCCCAGCTGTTCACAAATTCCCTAAATTGTCTGCAAGTGAACGTGGTGTCATTGTCAGTCAGTATTTCGGTCGGCGGGCCTCGTTCGTAGAAGACTGTCTCTAGCTGACGAATGACACCAGCAGAGTCTTGCCGTCTCAGTGGCCGCCATACTGCAAAACAGGGAGGGACCACAGTCAATGAGCGTAAGAAAATGGCTACCATTGCAATGGGTTACGTCCATTGCTAACCTGCTCAGTTTTTCTCACACTCAAATTTCCTTTCTTCCAATGCACTGGTGCTGGATCGATCGATTGGCAGGCTTCACAGGTTCTAACGACAGATTTCACCAGTTCTTTAGACACCGTTGGATCTACAGTCCTAGCAAAGTACATTGTTCTTTTAACACCTGGGTGCCCACTCTGCTGGTGGATGTGGGTCACCTGACGTTTGCTCAACTGGCTCGTTGCAGTGACACAACTCACTTGCACCGGTTCTCCTCCTTTTTCTTGTGCATCTCCAACCAGCGTTGCGGCACTCTGGTGAGGCTGTCAGCGCGGTTCTGACAAAGACTTCACCAACGTCACAGTCATAGTCAGTGCGTACTCTTCCACCAAAGCTCGCAGTGTCTCTAAGCGCCGCCTCATCAGCATTTCACCCGCTGCCTTCGTGTTCACGCGCGTCCTTCCTGTCAGGGTGTCAGACACCCACCGATGCACACATGCTGAATCGGTGACCACATGCATAACTGGTGCCTGCCACTGCAGGGCAAGATTCACGCCCTTGATTACCGCATCAAGCTCAGCAAGATTAATGTGTTTGGCATCATTGGTTGGACGCAACCAGCAAGCATCTTCCACGACGCTCCCATTCACCTCTAGTGCTACTCCCGTGGCCACGGAGCTTGCATCCACCCAAACTGTCATTTCATTGCCGTTCACACACCAGTCTCCGCCGACAGGATCTGATTCCCCACTCTGGCCACTGTTTCCTCCAGCATACGTCCAAGAGGGGCATCCTTTATCTCGTCGTCCCATCCTTTGGTTAGTGTACTTGCATAACGCTTAATAAATGCAGTTGCCACCCTAAGCCAACCGCACACAGGGAAATGACCCACAAGTTTCCCGCACAAGGAAAATACGCTTCGGCGGGTCAACTTTTGAGCAATTTCTGGAACCTGACCTCCCCGCTTCCATCGAAGGGAGTTGCTTTCTTCCCAGACTTGCAGACCCAGGACCTTAGTTCCGTCTCTCAATCGCTCCGGATCTTTACAGACTAGCCCGTAATCTGCAAAGTGCTGTCTTACGCGCGCTGCAGAAACTAGGCCTTCATTTATGAAGATATCGTCGACGTATGCCGACGTGGCACTCTTAATGTCCTGATCCTGGGACGTTATCATGTCGATCACTGACTTCATGACAAGTGGTGCCACATTCAGGCCAAAACCCAAACGCGTAAAGGCAAAACCGCTTGCCCTTAATGACCACTGTTTGAAACGGCCATAGCGATTTGTCAATGTGAATCTGTAGGTACGCATTTCTCAAATCCAACAGCGATACGTCAGCTCCTTGTCGTCGCCATTCTCGTAATTTCTGCGCACACACCTCTGCGTCAGCCGTGAATGCGTCTACAAAGCCGTTCAACTCCCGATAGTCAAGTACCGGTCGGACCTTCTGTTTGTGTTCTTGTACGACCGCCATTAAGGGAATTAATCCCTTGGGTGGGCCAAGCTCTTTCTCAGGATATGGCAGTAGCCATCCGTCTCGCTGCCACCGTGCTAGTTCTTCATCGTATGCATCCCGGACGTGGCCAGGTACTGTGTACTCCTGTACTTTATTGACCAACTTGCTGGGTGAATAACCACTCGCCCACTTCCACAATGCAGTCCACGTTTTTGTGCTCGGGTTAAACGTCACTCTAAAGTCAGGCTTGTTGATAACAATGGCGGCACATGTGATCAGGTTTCCGAAACGAGCTTCGCCTGATTCGGTCAAGTAAACACCTCCGAGCACTTTGATTGCATCAATCCCGAGAAGAAGATCGAATCCTAGCAACTGCCCTTCCACGACCAGAACCTCAACAGTCACGGGCTGAATATGCTCGACGCCCAACAATTTTACCGTATCCACGGCACTTCAGGGTCTTCCCGTCGGCAGTCAACACTCCCACTCTTCCTGCCTCCAGCAGCGACACACAGTCTTGCTCACCAGCGTCTGTGAGCATCCTGAATCCACTAGAGCTGTGCACTCTACTCCATCTACAAATACTTGTACGGTGGGTAACTTCCGGTTTTTACTTGCTCGGGGAGAAGGCTGGCGCTGACGCCTTCTCCCCTTGGGCGTTTCCCTGGCATTCTGAGGAAATGTGTCCAATGCCGTTGCATCGAAAACACCGCTTGTCGCGACCAGACCTCTGCGTTCTGTTTGACCTCTCCTGACGTCCTTGTGCACAATCCTTCGCCATATGGTTGGGTCCAGAGCACTTGTAGCAGGTAATCGTTCTGCTAACAGGTTTGGCAGGGGAACCTCAGCTTCTGAGCGCGTTAGCTCTACGGATGCGGCGGCCAATACCTGGCACCCTTCGTCATCCGTCATAATAGCCCTTGCTCGGGTCAGAATCTGTTCTAGATTCATGTCGTCCATCCTGGAAGAAGCTTTGAGAAGCTGCCTAACATGATGTGGCAGTCCTGACACAAATGCACATGCCATCCACCGATCAGGTAGCGGTTCTCCTACTAGCCGCGCCAAACGATGCATTTCAGCCAGGAATTCATCCACAGTTTCCCCAGGGCGAAGACGCCGTCCCATAAATTGGTCGAACGCATTAAATCTGTCAGTCGCGTATGCAGTCATAAGGGCCCGTTTAATTTGTTCCGCGTCTGCCTCTGCTCTCCACTGAGTTGTCTATATACAGCAAGGGCACCGCCTCGAAGTCGTAAAGGCAAGATGCGCTCGATCTTGTCCATGGCACAAAGTTCGCAGACCAATTCCACATTTTCTATCCATTCAACAATGGGCATATCCGTTGGGGCGCCGCTGAATTCTGGAATCAAACGGACGTCAAAGACCTTGCCTTCCATTTTGAAGAATCAATATGCTGAAATAGCTTGAGGCGAATGAAGAAAACAGTAACCAGCGAGTAAATTCAAGCTCACTCAGCTGGTATTTCAAACTTTCTGAGTCGTTCCTTCTTGAGTTCTGTCTCCAAATCACACTAACTGCCCGTTCTAGCCGTCAACCGTGAACGTCCCTCGAAGAACTCGCCGACTTGGAAAAAAGTAGTTGTTTTTATAGTTGTTCATGTACCCATAATCCCTTGCATCTTCCTGTGATCCCATAATTCATTGCGTCCATGTCCCATAATGCATTGCGTCCTTATTGGATAAAAATGCGATGCCAGTCCCCCCTCATTCTTTTATGTTATCTGGCCGAGGATGGATTACGGCAGAGCGGTAAGTGCTTTTTTTTCTCTCCCTCATTTCAACTGCAGTAGCTTTACATGCTAAGCAAATACGGGCCCTTTTTTGGCGGGGACAAGGCAAGTCGCGACTAGTTGTGCTCGTCCCAGGTTCTGTCTCATGTCCGCCACATGGACATACACTCTATATCTATCTATCTATCTATCTATCTATCTATCTATCTATCTATCTAACCATCAGATAATGTAATGACATCATACTACCTCATTACAAAGGCGGCAGTATACGCTTTACATAATTTGTCATACATTCATATCTGTTCGATGCGTATCCAAATGTAAACAAATGACGTCACACATTATGAAATGGACAAAGTCCGACAATTATTTTAAAGACATTTTTTATCTTTATAACTTCTTTTTATAGATACAAATATTTAAGTAAATTCTCTGTTTATAATAAACAGTAATAACGACATTTACCGGCCTGAATGTCCGAGAAACTTTCATAGAAAATATGCGTCCTCGGACAGGAATCGAACCTGTGTCCTATACGGAACCATCATATAGCCTGACGTGCTTTACCGATTGAGACACAGAATGAGCGTTTCGGTTAGTCAGGTCGATTTCATAATGTGTGATGTCATTTGTTGCATTTGGATACGCATCGAGCAGATATGAATGTATGAGAGAAAATCATGGAGAATTGTCGTTTAAAAACTGTATATTCGACCTTGCTCATGTGTATATATACACGTGTGCGAGAGGGCACCTCGAGTTGGTGTAATGGTTAGCAAGCTTGTCTCGCTAGAACAATTACGACTGAGTATTAAGTTTGATCCTCACTGGGTGTTGGGACGCACCCACCTTCTGACTGATCATGGACTTATCCCTCTACGATATAAATCAGTGCTAGAGAGAGTAGTTGTGTTGTGCGAGGATCAGGTTCAGCGACAGCAGTCGAGATCAGGTTACCATTACATACCGTTGGACTGTAGACTTTTGTTATTGTTACTTACTAACCGATGTTCCTTATTACTAATCACTCTGTTGTTAATTACCTCTTACAAATATACCAGTATTTATCCCTACAACTGTGTTTGTCTTTATTCGAATACACACACGCGGGAACACTCCCAACAACTCAACACTGGGTGGCCCTTAATTTCGAAGTTATTATAGTGGGCACTCCTTATTTGAAATAGACGCCCCATTTTTATTTATTAAACAATATGTATTACTTTGATCGGTCTGCCCATTTTAGAAATATTATTTCAAATAAGAATTGATCATTATAAAACCTCAAATTATTTCAAATAAGAATTGATCATTATAAAACCTCAAATTATTTCAAATAAGAATTGATCATTATAAAACCTCAAATTATTTCAAATAAGAATTGATCATTATAAAACCTCGTCAGGAGACATCCGCAAATGTCTGCCAGTTTACTTCTTTTCGTTAAAAAAAGAAAACTATGGTCTTATTATTGGTGTTAGGCTGATTTTACTTCTTTACACACATACACACACAGACACCCACACACATATATCTATATACGTGTGTGTGTACACAGACACGCCTAGACACATGCACACACGCCTAAACACATACGCGCGCACACATATATATATATATATGTTTGTGTGTGTGTTTATGTGTGAATGTGTCTAGACGTGTGTGTGTAATTATCAACATAAGAAATAACCACGACATTCAACACGCACCCCCCACACACACATATATATATATATATATATATATATATATATGTGTGTGTGTGTGTTTGTGTGTGTTTAGGCGTGTGTGTGTGTACGCCTGCACGTGTGCGTATGTGCACATGTGTTAAATGTCGTGGTAATTTTTTATGTTGATAGTTTCTTTGTCACCTTCTACTCTCTCATTATCTTTTTTTTTTCTATTCTTGATTTTTTTGTCTCTGAATGTCAAAAGATAATGAAGTGAAGTTATTTTCGGGACCAGAGATGGTGAAAATTAGGTTGATATTCCAGAATATTACCTTTCTTTTTTTTTTCTAAAGTTTTTCCCAATATAGCTGAATACCGTTTTATTTTATTTCTCATGTAAATAATACATTATTAATTTTTTTTAGATTAATGCTTAACCCTTTCAGCCCTACCGTTACTGAACAATTTTAACTCTTCTTCCTGAGCTCCCGATTCAAAATTCGCAAATAATTGGTATGTAACGCTTCACAGTAGATATAAAAACAATTACAAGTGTTTACCAATGTTCAACTGGTAAAGCGGTGGTCACGGCTCAAAAAGTTAAATGGCAAAAGAAAAAAAAATATTTTAGCGGGTACAGGTGTTTGGATAAACGCCCTATTCATTCGAGAGTCTTGTGTAAGCCACGGATTAATTTTACAAAGGAGATACATGTTCAACCCTTACCAAGCGGAACACCCTCTTTATTCAAAATCTTGAACGCAAATACGAGTAGATGTGATTTATACCGTTAAAAACAGGCCATTTATTGATATACCCGTGTCCACTAATATATAAAGTTTAAAGTGATAAGAAATATTGTCGGATTAAAAATAAATTCTATTATTTCCTTAAATATTAATATTACACACACACACACACACACACACATACATATATATATATGTATATATATATGTGTGTGTGTGTGTAATATTAATATTTAAGGAAATAATTAAATTATATATGTGTGTGTGTGTGTGTGTGTGTGTGTGTGTATGAAATAACCCCACCAAGTGTAAACTAGCTGTGACCAATTCCATTGCACAGTACAGGACGGTGTTACTTGTGAAAAAAAAACAATGACCTACATCGGACACACAACTGCCTCCTTAAGGAGATGTCATATGTGCAACCTTTCGCAGCAGAGTCCGATTAATTAGCATTTATTAACTCATAATTTACAAACCCTTTCTAGAAAATTGTACTCAAAGATTCTTTTCAAATCACATAGCTGTACACAACTCATAAAGTTTTAAACACACATATAAATTCATAATTTACTGTTTCCAAGGACACAGAGAAATCAAATCATTCAGACAGGGGCGGTAGCGTGTTCATTTTTATTAACTATTGTTTATATCAATTATGAGTTACTTTCGAAAAAGAGGTTAAGTTTAGGGAGGGTAGGGGTGTATTTTCCAATGAATTCTGACATCCGCTAAATGCATGACATCTGGGTTTTTTTTTTATTAACGGCAAATGTTTTTCGGCATTTTTTTCTTACTTGTATACTTAACAACTCAGTAAATTGAAAAGTAAGTTATTCCAATATTCGCTTGAAGATGAAACGGAACTAATGCTTTTAATTTAATTATATAATTAATTTTAAAGTTTTTAGCTTCCATTTTTGAAACATGGTTATTACTCTGTAGCGAAAAAACACATTTTCAAGCAGTAAATTTATAATATTTTTGCTCTGTAAATTTACATTTTTTTGTTTCTGTTTTGTAAAAATAAAATAAACAGCAGATGATATATCTTACTGTTCTTTATATATATATATATATATATATATATATATATATATATATATATATATATATAATTATATTATAAAGAAATCTCAAACAGTAATATTCCATGGTTGTAAAATGTTACATGGGAATACGATTCCAATGTAATAAATTATAACCATGGAACTTTTTTTATTATATTTATTACTCATTCCTGGACATTGAGTTCTACCTGAATTCTATCGTCTTGGAAATTTATATATATATATATATATAGTGTGTGTGTGTGTGTGTCGTTTCACCTCAGGGCGTAGGCGATCATGGCTATCTTTCTTGTCCCCTGTCTTGCGAGTATCAGATTTTCCAAGCCCTCCTTCCACATTATGTGCCCCAGAAATCTCAACCCTCTCTTCCAGATGTTAAGTATAAGTTTCCTTTTTTGGTTTCGTTTTCTCTAAAAAAACTTCCTCGATGCTCACATGATCGGTTCATGATATCCTCAACATCCTTCTGTAGAACCACATTTTTGCTGCATCAAGTTTCTTTTCCTTATTTCTAGCAATTTTTTTCTATTTCCTTATACTCTGCTTAGCTTTTGAAAAGTATCTTTCGCTATCCCAATATGTTTTCGGATCTCAGTGTCAGACTTTTCGTCCTCTGTTAGAACATTTTCCAGACATTTCCATTTCCGCACGTGTTTCATTTTGCTGTCTCCAATGTGCAATTCATATTTTCGGCTCATCCTTTTGCTGACAACCCTGCATTCCGTTTTCCTGCAGTTGATGTTTAATCCTTTCTTCTCGCTTTCCTATATTAGCGTTTGTAGAAGTTTTTTGTAGCTCGATTTCTGTGTATGCTACCAGCAAAGTGTCATTAGCATACTGACGTTGTTAAGATTGTGGCCGATAATAAATAATAAATCCTGGTAAGACTTCTAGTTCTCTCACAATCGCCTTACTTCATAGGATGAATTAGTCCGGTGAAAAGACACATCATTGTCTTCCATAGCTTTCTGTTTTGGTATATATGCTGAACTCATTTTGATATCCGTAACAGAGTATATAAGGTATTTGAGGAGACACTGAAGAGCATAAAAATGTCACATTATAAACAACTAAATTTATTTATAAAAACATGATACGCATATGAAGTAATGAACGAATTACATGTTTATTCGATGTAACTGTTTTCAGTCATGGCTTCGATGAGGGACCAGAATCCTTGAATCATATGGTCTGTATTAATATTGGATATTTCTGGGGCAATGATGGCCTTCAGGGAATCCATTGTAGAGTGGGAAAGTTGATTAGTCTGCCGTTCAGTAATGCCCCTCGTCTAACAGTCAATGAAATTTAAGTCTGACAGGTAAGGTGGTCACATGTTTGGTGTGATGTACCGTGCAGATTAGCCGTTATCCAATCTTGGGTTACCACAGATTTGTGACCAGCTTCAGAGACCTTCTGGAACACATACGGCCTTCCATTGCATCCACGGTCTATCCAGTGTTTCATAAATGCTCCCTGCACACCAGTGTAGCCAGCAGCTTTCAACCGAAGACATTGTCGAAAGAAATGGGGTAGAGTGTCCTTCACTACTCACCATAACAGAATCAGGGACTTGGTGTGCATGACACAGGGGACATCACCTGTCATTTCTCCGGATCCCGTTTTGTTCCTGGCCAATTCTTTTTTCGTATTAAAAAAAATAAAAATAAATAAAGGTATATTAGTTTCTTACGGATGTTTCAATTTGTTCAGTAATCGTTTTGTTTCAAGCAACAGTTTTTCTTGTGTGTTTTCCGACATAAACTGCCCTGCTTCATGACATATGTGTCGTACCAAATGTCTTTATGCAACGTATTGCGGATTGTACCATATGACATCTGATATCTTTGGCAATGGTCGGCATGGACATTCTTGAATTCGCAACGATAATGTTCTTAGCCCGCAGTACGAATTGTGATGTCCTGATACTAAGGTTGGGAATGCTTTTCAAAAATCGCTACAATCGATTGATCGAAAACATCTACTGTACTTTGCGCACAACAGTCGGGGCAGCTTTCCAGAAACGTGCAATCTTAGCATCGCCGCGCTTTATGAGTATTGCAACAGTTACAGCATGTCGTTTTATCTAATGCATTCGCTGTTAGTTCAACCATTAGTGTTCCTAAAAAATAACAGTACGTTAATTCACGATTGTTGTTCGTGCAGCTGCCTATTTTTTTTTTCTGGATAGCATTTTCAACATTGATGACGATCTTGACCTTATAAACGGTACAAAAGGACACAAACATTATATTTCAGTTGCTTTCGGGCCGTACCCGAAGGAATTCTCTCTTTCTTTCCTGTTTGCACTTTAGTGAAACTATTTCTCATAATACGAGCGTGGGTTGAAAAATTCATAGAGCTGTGACATCTTGCACGCATTACATTCAACTTATTGATAATTGCCTTGTTTCTTACATTATTTACATTATTCGGGCTATTGTCCTCATCTTTGCCGCCCTATTTATTACAACGTTTCGGACGTTGTACGCTCCGGCCTTCTTCAGGAGGTTGGAATGTCGAATTGAACCCTTTATTTCGCTCACTGGAGTAGACTGTTCTAGTTCCACGTGACATGTTTAATGGTTGTCAAGTTATCTCCTGTTAATTTCCCTCTGAAAGTTCTCCACTGCCTTAACCGGGTATTGAACTTACACTCTTTGCGTCCTGTCACTGGATCTAGCGAACGCCTTTATTCACTATGCCAATCAGCAAAATAAAGGGTTCAGTTCGATATTCCAACCACCTGAAGAAGGCCAGAGCGTACAACGGCCGAAATGTTGTAATAAATATGGCGACAATAATGAGAACAATAGTCCGAATAATGTAAATAATGTACATAATACCTCATCTCAAAAATATAGACAGATACTGAGGGACCGAAACGTTGTAATAAATATGGCGACAAAGATGAGGACAATAGTCCGAATAATGTAAATAATGTACTTAATACCTCATCTCAGAAATATAGACAGATACTGAAAAGCCGAAACGTTGTAATAAATATGGCGACAAAGATAAGGACAACAGTCCGAATAATGTAAATAATGTACATAATACCTCATCTCAGAAATATAGACAGATACTGAAGGGCCGAAACGTTGTAATAAATATGGCGACAAAGATGAGGATAATAGTCCGAATAATGTAAATAGTGTACATATTACCTCATCTCAGAAATATAGACAGATACTGAAATCCCGAAACGTTGTAATAATTATGGCGACAAAGATGAGGACAATAGTCCGAATAATGTAAATAGTGTACATATTACCTCATCTCAGAAATATAGACAGATATCTGGATCTGTCTATATTTCTGAGATGAGGTATTATGTACACTATTTACATTATTCGGACTATTGTCCTCGAAACGTTGTAATAAATATGGCGACAAAGATGAGGACAATAGTCCGAATAATGTAAATAATGTACTTAATACCTCATCTCAGAAATATAGACAGGTGCATTGTTTCTTTTCAGGTAAAATATCATCTAACTGTTCAAAGAAGGCTTCAGAAGAAAATAGTAGTGACTTGTCTGGAAAGTGGACAAAAATTTGGCATCGTTATGTTATCAAGTACCTGTGGTAAAACGGTTTAGCCGCTAAGAACACTCATATCAGCTGTTGATGAACAGGATGACAGATTCTTTAACAAACACTGCAACATCGATGGAAGAAGTGATTGAAACGCAAGGAGGACTATGTTGAAAAATAAACCTTAGGAGAGTATGTTGGTCAGCAT